AAAGAGAATAAACGCATTAAGGTTGTGTTAATATGAGTTGCAATTGAAAGATTTATCACTACTAACTTTTTTTTTTTTTGAAAAAAAGGAAGAAAGTAAACGTTTAGCTGTTAATGAAAAACAAAAGCGCGAAGAATTGTCCAGTAAATTTGAGAATACTATTTGGGAAATCAAGTCAAAAATGGAGGAAGATGCAGATGAGAAAAAGAAACGAACCGAAGACAATGAATTGTTTGTAGAGGAGAAGAGGATTTTATTGCACTTTTTTTCTTTTTCTCTTTTTGATTTAACGAACTCTTGATTTTAAATTATACCGATCAATTGACAAAATAGGTTGAAAGATAAGTTCCGAAGCTTTTTGGAACAATATGAACTCCGTGAAAAGCATTTCAACAGTGTCATTCGATCAAAGGATTTAGAGCTACAACTATATGAAGCAAAGCTACAACAGCAAAAACAATTGACTGAACAAGAGGTCAATAAAGTAAGTAACGAACTCACATTATACGTTGGGAGCATCAGCACAATGACCATTCTTACGTTGATCAATAGGTTACTTCCTTGAAAGGTCAAGTTGACGTGTTATCCAAAGCTGAAGCTGAACTACATAGACATCTAAATGTTCACATTGATAAATTTAAACAAGTAGAAGAAACTTTAAATAAAAGCAATGAACTTTTTGAAACTTTTCGCAAAGAAATGGGACAGGTCTGTTCGTTTAACCCCTTGTTTTTGTGCAGCAAACAAGGTACATTGACACTTCTCTTATAGGCGTTTTCATACACCAGATGACCCAGAAGACAAAAAAACTCGAGAAGGAGAATGCATTAATAAAAGGGAAGTGTGTTACGATGAATAAAAATATTCTAGAAATGGCAGAGGAAGTATGGAATTTTATTTCCTTTTCATAGGAACATATTGAGAAAACCTTGTATTTTTATTAATATAAGTCGATTAATAATTTACCGTTGTACGAAATTTTTTCTCTATACCACACTTCACAGAGAGCACGGGATCAAAAGTTTATAGAGGATACAAAGAGGAAGGAAGTAAACTTAGAAAATTTGTGCAGGGCACTTCAAGTACCGTTTATTTACCATTTGTTATATATATATATAATAATCGTTTCTCAAGGCGTTAAAAGAATTTTTTTTTTTTCACATATTAGGCGGAAAGAGCTCTTCTAAAAAAAAAGGTAGAGTCTTTAGAATTATTAACATCTTCAATTCGACAATCAAGTACGCATGTCCCCTTTACAGGTGACGAGGAGACTGATGGAGGATTAATCGGCTATTGCTCTGGAGAGGTTGAATTGTGTGGTAATGACAACAATCATGATGAGGCTTCGGGAACAGAATTCCATAAAATAGATCAAAGTTGTAATCAAGGAACAAGTCAAAATTAGATTATCCAAGCAAAGTGAATTACAAAATTATGAAACCATCAAGGAAGACTAATGTGAATCGTAAATTATCCTAAGCTCTAGATATCTGTGCATACTGAACACGGTAACTAAAGGAAAAGCGTTAAAGAAAGATGTTTGTTTTTTTGACAGACTTGTTGATGTTTAGTATACTCGCATGTATGTTACATAACAGGCTTTGTGCATTTAAATTCTAATTATAAGCAATAATATGAGAGACGTTCATTGGTTCCATTTCGGTTCTATGGAACAAAGCATTTCACAGAATGGCTAAAGTGGAGTCTGCCTCAAATCATGTACAAATAGTTTTAAAAATTGCATAAACTCAATCTATTATTTTTATTTTAATATATTATTATTATTTGCAATTATGCCATCACTAAATGTCTTTATTGAAACATTAAATAAATATTTACAATGTTATTGATTTTCATATAATAATTAACTTAATGTTATATATTGTATTATTGGTTAAAAACCAAAAAATATAAAGAGTTCATTAAGCTAGTTTGAATTAAACAAAACAAAATTTATATTAGATATTATAGGTCAAATTTAAAGAATAATATTTCACTTTTCAAATAAATTAATACTTGATTTTTATTAATATTATTGTTAATAATTTAATATAAATTATAATATTTCAAAAAAATTTTAATTAATTCAATAGTTTTTAATTAAAGTATTGGATTACTTAAAAATATTTTTATTTTTATTTTTTTTTTAACCTATAGTCAGGCCAGTATAGCTTGTCCATTTTATTATAAACATATTTGGTATTTACATATTTTATAACTTTCATATATTACCTCATCCATTTACAAAGTTTAACCTTCTTTAGATGCAACTTAAGGGATAATATTTCATCCCCTTTATGGCTTGAATTATTCTCTAGCCATTCAGATCATTGCCTATAGCTCATCACTGTAGATCTTCCAAAGTTCTAACTATGATTAAAAACCAAACTATTTAAAATCTTTGGATATCCAATTACTTATTATATCTACTATATTGTCTTGAGACTTTATTTGTTCTAAGTCTTCTTTTTCTTCTATTATATTTCTGAAAGAATGAATAGAAAAGTGATAGACTTTCTTAGGAACTCAATCCATTTTTCTAGTCATATCAGTTGATACTCTAAGTCTTTTGAGTTTGCTAATAATTCTTTGATTTTGTTTCTATTCAATAATAATACTATCGCATTTATTCTAAACTTCCTTCTTGAAGGTCTTCCTTATTTTTTTACAAAATTTATCAATAACTTCTTGTATTGTTGTTGCTAGGATTTTGAAAGCTTTAGTGCTTTTTCAAGATTTTGATCTTATCTCTATGTATAAAGCCACGGACTGTGTTATATAAGCTTTTATCCTGTTATTTAATGTCCTAGATCCATTTCCCTATTACTCTTTAACTTTTGCCTGACTTTTGTCAGATTGATTTTTTGTTTTCCTAATATACTGAAGAATTTTACTTTGAAACTTGTTTCACATAATTAATCTTTCACTTTGGATCTTGGGATGTTCAAAAGATGTTTCAGGATTTTCTCTTGTAATTTACATATTGAGCATATTGTATTTGAATATAAGTCTGGTTTTCTTTTCTGTATTACTTAGAGGGTAAAAAACTTGTCATAGATTAAGTTTACCAGAAAACTCTTATTCTTGTTGGTACTAAAGGAGATGTAAAAGATATTATATGAATTAAATTGTCTTTAGAAAATTTACCAGTCAATTTCTTTACTCAAGTATATCCATTGATTTTGAATACATTTTTGCTTAATCCAGGCTAGTCCTATTTTCTTAGTATTTTATTTTTTAAGAAAATTTCTAATATTGATATCAATAGTATGTTCCTTTCAGGCTACTATTATGAGAACTTGATCTAGATCAGATGTTTGTTGTCAAGTTAAAGGATTTTCTCTTCTAACCTGCTTTGTTAACCTGTCTACTATATTATTAAACTCAATATTTTTAATGGGCCTTGATTTTTTCAAGTATAAGGCAAAGATTTTTCTTTTGTACTAGGTTTTTGATTTGGTTTCATAATGGTCAGTTGTCTATTTTAATCTATTTCCTTATAGAAATAAACTTTTGCGATTGGATTGTCTTCTATATCTTGATAGCTGCACTACAAACTGTACAGTATATATAATTATTTTTCCATTTTTGGGTATTGTAAAAATTATAGTAAGTATGGCTAGAATTTCTGCTTTTGTAGCTGATGGCCATAATATTGCCCCTGCTAAGAATTGATTGATTATTTTATTGTTCTCAATTTGAATCCATGCAAGACCTATTTCAAGTTCATTCTCACTTTTTGTACATTGCTTGTAA